TTAATTTTAAAAAGAATTAACAGCTCTTTTGGTTCCTAGTGCAGCCATGGCTTGTGGCCCTGAAAAGCATCTGTAGCGGGTAGCAGCTCCAAAGCACTGGATGCTGGATAAATTGACCAGTGTGTTTGCCCCTGGTCCATCCGCTGGTCCCCACAAGCTGAAGGGATGTCTTCCGCTCATCATTTTCCTCAGGAACAGACTTAAGTATGCTTTGGCAGGAGATGAAGTAAAGAAGGTCTGCAGGCAGTGGTTCATTAAGGTTGCTGGCTGTGGAGGGCGACAATGCCCTACCGCGGACCGCGCCACTAGATGGCGCCGAGCGGAACTCTCTTACTCGCGTAAAGAGTAAGCAGATTCCTAGAAGTTCCTTACCCGGAACGCGTGCACTTGGAGTCTAGCCAATAACAAGTCGCATGATCAGCACGGGACTCTCACATATGGCCCATATGATAGGCTATATGCACTTCCGTACACGTGTACACAACACTGATTGGCCACTTTACTCCTTTTATTCTGGCCCCGTCTCGGGGCGCGGGGCAGCGGACAACTGACTACCTCAGGGGAAAATAAAGGGACGAGAGGAAGAAACCGCTTTGTGTGTGTCCTTTGTTCGCGGCAGCGTCACGGGCAGCGACAGCTGGCAAAGTCCGTACTGACATAACCGACCCTGTTGGTTTTATGGATGTCACCAGCATTGACAAGACTGGAGAGAATTTCCGTCTGATCTGTGACACCAAGGGTCATTTCGCCATCCATCGTGTTACACCTGAGGAGGCCAAGTACAAGTTGTGCAAAGTGAGGAAAATCTTTGAGGGCACAAAGGGAACCCCTCACCTGGTGACCCATGATGCTCATACCACCCGCTACCCAGAAAGGTGAACGACACATTCAGACTGATTTGAAGACGGGCAAGATTACTGAGTCCATCAAGTTCGACACTGGTAACCTGTGTCTGGTGACTGGAGGTGCTAACTTGGGAAGAGTTGGTGCGATCACCAGCAGAGAGAGACATCCTGGCTCTTTCGATGTGGGTCCTGTGAAAGATGCCAGTGGCAACAGCCTTGCCACTCCTCTCCAACATTTTTGTCAACAAGTCATGGATTTCTCTTCCCCGGGGAAAGGGTATCTGCCTTACCATTGCTGAAGAGAGAGACAAGAGACTGGCGGCCAAACAGCAGTGGGTGAAATGGTCTCTAGATTTTGTGTTGGAGAGGTCTTCATACTTAAGTAAAGATGATATAGGGGACCATTAGTTAGCGTAGTGGCTATATCGCTGGACTCCCATGCAGTCAACCGCGGTTCACGTCCCGGACCCGGTGGCTTAGAACTCACGCTGGGCACGTGTGCGTGCGTGCCCAAGATCCCGAGAGGAGAACGGAGGAGAAGGGATTGCGGCGTGGCCATCCCCCCTGGGGGGTGATTTCTCGCTTTCTGTCTCTCTGTCTCTTTCTGTCTTTCTGGTGAGTGCATGAGCCCTATAGCAAAAACCTCTCCAAAAAAAAAAAAAAAAGTGATATAGCATAAAAAAAAAAGAATTTCCATATAAATTACCATAGTGGCCACACCATTTTACGTTGCCACCAGCAATGCACAAGGGTCCCAATCTCTTCATACCCTTCTCTTTATTCGATAATAGCCATCCTAATAGGTGAGAGCAATATCTCATTGTGGTTTTGATTTGCATTTCCCTAATGATTAATGATGCCAGATGGCTTTTTGTGTGATTATTGGCCATTTATATATCTTTTTTTATTTCCTTAAGAATTATTCTTATGTCCTGGCGGTTAAAGTCACTGGATTCCCACATAGCTGACTGCGATTCAAGTCCCAGATCTGGTAGCTTGCCTTCTTGCTTTTCCTTTCTCTCTCTATGTCTCTCTCTGGTCAAATAAAAAAATAATAATAACAAATGGAATTAAATAAATAAATAATTCTTAAAAATAAGTATCCTTATTAGAGCAGCAGATGGTGTGGTGGTTAGGCACTGGACTGCCACATGGGTGACCATGATTCAAAGCCCAGACCTGATAGTTTGCTTTCTCACTTTCCCTCTTTCTGTGGTCAAATTAAATAACAATAACAATAATAATTGATAAAATTTAATGAATATATATCTATATATATATATATATATTTTTTTTTTTAGAGAGAGAGCTATTTTTGCTATAGGGCACGTGCGCTTGCCAGAGAGAGAGAGACAGAGAGACAGAAAGCGAGAAATCACCCCCTAGGGGGATGGCCATGCCGTCCCTTCTCCTCCTTTCTTCTCTCGGGATCTTGGGCACGCATGCACATGTGCCCAGCGTGAGTTTAAGTCACCGGGTCCGGGACTTAAACCACGGTCGACTACGTGGGAGTCCAGTGACATAACCATTACGCCAACTGCTGGTCCCAATCCCTTCTCTTTCATTCTCCTTTCATTCTCCTCTTGGGATTTGGGGCACGCACGCACGCACACGTACCCAGCATGAGTTTTAAGCCACTGGATCTGAGACGTAACCTGCAGCCAACTACATGGGAATCCAGTGATAGAACCATTATGCCATCTGCTTGGTTCCAGCAATAAATATAGTTTTTAAATAATTATTTTGAAAGAATTATTTATTTGTCATCATTATTTTTCAATTTCGACCAGAGAGAGACAGAGAGAGAGAGAAAGCAAGCTGTCAGGACTGGGACTCTCGTTGGCCATTTGGGAGTCCAGCACCTTTAACCACCATGCCACCTGCTGGCCCCAAAAGAATTAATTTAATTTCTTCTTCTTATTATTATTATTTTACCAGAGACAGATAGAGAGAGAGAAAGTGAGAAAGCAAGTCACCAGGTCAGGGACCGTAACTAGAGTTGCCCATGTATAAATCTAGCACCCTAACCACCACACCACCTGCCAACCCCTATATATCTTCTTTGGAGAAATATATTCTAGATTTAATATTAAATGTGAATTTATACAGTGGCCTATGTGGACAATCTTTGAAAGTTCATGAAAGGGGCCAGAAGATGGCCTGGTGGTTAAGGTGCTGAACTTCCACATGGCTTACTGTGGTTTGAGTCCTGGATCTGGCAGCTTGTTTTATCATGTTCTCTCTCTCTCTCTCAAGCACACAAGCTCTATAGCATATTTTTAAAAATAGAAATAATTAGGGAACAGCAGATGGCATAATGGTTATGGTGCAGGACTCCCACATGGTCAACCGCGGTTCGAGTCCCAGAACCAGTGACTTCAAACTCATTATGGGTGCATGTGCATGCATGCCCAAAATCCCAAGAGGAGAATGGAGGAGAAGGGATTGCCTCCCTGGCCATCCCCCCAGGAGGGGGGTAATTTCTCACTTTGTGTCTCTCTTTCTGATGAGCACACGCACCCTGTAGAAAAATCTCTCTTAAAAAAATAGCTACAGGGACTAGCAGTTAGTGTAATGGCTATGTCACTGGACTCTCATGGAGTCGACCACAGTTGGAGTCCCAGACCCAGTGGCTTAAACTCACACCGGGCGTGTGTGCATGCGTGTCACAGATCCCGAGAGGAGAAGGGATTGTGGTGTGGCCATCCCCCCTGGGGGGTGATTTCTCACTTTCTGTCTCTCTGTCTCTGTCTGTCTGGTGAGCACATGTGCCCTATAGCAAAAACCTCTCAAAAAAAAAAAATTAAGCGGCCTGGTCTGGGACTCGAACCACGGTCAGCTACGTGGGAGCCCAGCTATACTGTGTACTGGCCCTCATCCACATAACTTAATGATCAGGACTAAGTACTGACACACCAATGACAACATGATTTAACAGTTTTTCCAGGAAATTGTTTCCCAGGAGCATTAGGCTGTAAGTGAATAAATAACTCACTATTATGCCCATGAAATTATTATAGGTCAGATTTTTTCAAAGAATTACCGTACTTAACTTTTATTTATTTATGTATTCATTTTAATTTGATCAGAGAGGGACAGAGTGAGAGAGAGAGAGAGAGAGAGAGAGAGAGAGAAAGTGAGAAAGCAAGCCTTCAGATTCAGGACTTGGACTGCAGTCGACCGTGTGGGAGTTCAGTGCCCCTAACCACCACTTTACCTGCTGGCCCTGAAGCCAGTTTTTTTTTTTTCTTTCTTTCTTTCTTTACAGACAAATTGCTCATCTGAGCAAGAAGTTTGCTTATCAAACAGTTTTATGGTATTTTTTAATTTGTTTTTGCTTAAGTTCTTATTATAAGACTCCTGATCTCACCAGAGACAGAGAAAGTGAGCATTCACTCACCAGGAAAATGGCCATACCACAATCTCTTCTCCTCCATTCTCTGCTCAGGATTTTGGGCATGCATGCACACATGCCTGGAGTGTTTTTCAAGCAACAGAGTACGGAGCTTGAACCACAGAGTTGGCCATGTAGGATCTAGCTGCCTTAACCTCCATGCCACCTGCTGACCCTCAAGCAGTTCTTTTTAATTGCCAAAGGGTATGTTTGCTGGAGATAGAGAGGGAGACCATACCTTCTGAATGGGGTATGGTTATGTCCCAGTCCCTTCTCTGTTTCTCCTTCCTGTCTGGATTTGAGGCATACCCATGCCCAGCATGTTTTTCTTCTTTTTTCTTCCTGCCCCCCCCCCACACACACACAGGACCCATGTACTCACCAGAGGGAAGAGAGATAGACTGTGAGGAATTACCCCTGGGGGGATGGTCACACCACGATCCCTTCTCCTCCACTCTCCTCTTGGGATTTTGGCATGCATACACATGTGCCCAGTATGAGTTTCAAACTACTGGGTCCCGGATTTGAACCACAGTTGGTTATGTGAGAACCCAGCCTTAACTACCATGGTACCTGCTGGGCCCACCCAGTACATTTTTCAAGTCACTGGGTCCAAAATTTAAACCTCAATTAGCCATGTGGGATTCAGCTCCCTTAACCATAAGCTACTGGGCCCCCACACCCTTTTCCCAGTCCCAATCAGCTTTAGTGGTCTCCAATTATTTGAGAACAAATTCAAAATCTAATAAACATCTTTCCTTATGTCAGGTAGGATAATTACCATTCAGAGAGTTGATTAAAACATGCTGATTGGAGTTGGCATGATGTGTGGTCAATGTCTCTCTGTAATCAGGACTTGCAGCACTTTGGTTTCTAGGGAGTGGCCAGAGTGCACCTCCACCCCTGGCTGCAGATGGCAGGCTGGACAGGCAGGGACAACAAAGATACAATTCCAGAGGGCCAAGCTGTGGGGTCTGAGCCCTGCCTGAGGCAGCCCCTCTGGGTCCCTCTCGTCAAGTCCAGGGCTTGGAGTGAATGGGACCCTGGGATGGTTGGGGTAGAGGATGAATAAAGATGATGTCTGCTGTTAGAAAACATACACCACTGTCCCTTGGTATCTATCAGGTATTAATTCCAGACGTCCCACAGGTACCAAAACCCACGGGCGCTCAAGTCCCTTTCAGCCAGTTGTTCATGTCCGTGGGACCCATGGATATGAAGGGCCATGTATGATCGCAGTGATTAAAACAGACACAATGGTCACACAGATGATTCCATTTATATGAAATGTCCAGAATAGTGTAATCTCTAGAGACAAAAAGTAGTTTTGTGATTTCCAAGGTCCAGAGAGGGGAGAATGGGAGTGACTTTAAAGGGTATAGGGTTTCTTTTGGGAGTAATGAATATATTCTCGAATCAGTGGTGGCGATGACTGTACAGTCTCATGTATATACTAAACGCTACTGAACTGTGCACTTATAAAGGTGAGTTTTATACCATGAGAATTATGTGTTTGTTTGTTTGTTTGTTTTTTAAATTGGGACCAGTAGATGGCATAATGACTATGTCGCTGGACTCCCATGTAGTCGACTATGGTTGGAGTCCCAGATCCGGTGTCTTAAACTCATGCCAGAAGCATGTGCGTGCGTGCGGGCGTGCGTGCGTGCCCAAGATACTGAGAGGAGAATGGAGGAGAAGGGATTGCGGCGTGACCATCCCCCCTGGCGGGGTATTTCTCACATTCTGTCTCTCTGTCTCTTTCTGTCTTTCTGGCAGTGCACGCGCTCTATAACAAAGACTTCTCCAAAAAAAAAAAAGTTTAATGAGAGGTTGGAAATCTGTCAACAGGACTTTTTTCTATTCAAAGTTTTGTTTGTATCCTAAACTGTTATCTCTAGCCTACGGCCATTAAAAAAAGGTGAGAGAGCTAGAATCATGTCTGCCTCAGGATGTATTCCTGAATGTTCTATATAGGTATCAAGAGGGCTGTTATTTCTGTATCCTTTGGATTTAACCTTTGTTTGCTGGACTGAATTAGGGTTTAGACTGTTCTCATAGGAAAAACTTTGGGGGTAGCTTCCAAAAGATATTGTCCACTATCTATAGTTTTTCCTTCTTAAATTATTTTATTTTTAAGGGTAATTAAAAATTACCCAGAGAGCTGGGGCCAGCAGGTGGCATGGTGGTTAAGGGTGCTGGACTCCCATGAGGCTGACCCTGCTTTGAGTCCCAGACCTGGAGGCCTTCTCACTTTCTCTCTCTCTTTCTCTCTGTCCCTCTCTGGAAATATTAAAATGATAATAATAATGATAAAGTTAAATAAAATAATTCTTTTTTAAAAATTACCCAGAGAGACAGAGAGAAGGAGAAAGAGAAAGCACCCCTCTCTTCACAACAATTCCTTTTTTTCCATTTCTCCACCCTGTCAGAATTTCAGGCATGTGCACACATGGCCGGTGTGTTTTTTGAGTTGCTGGGGCTAGAACTGGAACAACGTGATCAGGTATACAGGATCTGGCTCCCTTAACTACTAGGCTTTGGGGTCAATCTCACAATCTATAGCTTTTCTAAACCTCTCTGATTTCTTATACAAGTCATAGTCTCTCAAATCATCCTCCAAGTCTACCCATTCTGCCTTTCCACTCAGTAATTTTTGCATCTGGAGTGTCTACTAAGATATGAATTCATTCAAGACCAGCAGATGGCATAATGGTTACATTTCTGGACTCCCATGTAGTTGACCATAATTTGAGCCCCAGATCTGGCTGCTTAAAACTCACGCCAGGCACGTATGCATGCATGCCCAAAATCCTGACAGGAGAATAGAGAAAGAATTGCAGTGTGACCATCCCCACTGGGAGTAATTTCTCACTTTCCCTCTCACTGTCTCTGTCTCTGTCTCTCTCTCCAGCAAGTGCACACACCCTAAGGCAAAAAACTCTTAAAAAAAAGAAAGATATGAACCCATTCTATAGATTGTCTCTCATTCATTTTGACTTCTTCTAAACTCTGTTTGCAAAATAAAGTCTTGAGATTTCTGCTTCTGGTTTTGGCTACCCTTGTGTTGTAATCGAGTAGTTTTTATTTTTTGTCATGACTTCAGCTAGTATGGAAACTATAACTGTGATTTCCCCCTTGCCTCAACAGCACTTAGTTGTGAGCTAGGTGGCACCCGGAGACATGCCTCTCAGAACAAAGAGGGAATCTGAATGTCATCTGATCCATTCCTTCCTCTGACACCCAGAGACCCAGTTTGTTGGAGATAGAAACCGGACCCAGTCACAGAATGTGCCACTGGCTTGCCTGTTTCTTTTTTCTCTTCATGCCATCTCATGTTTCCCCCTCCACGCACACTGAACTGTGGACAGTCTACAAAGCCCCGTATCAGTTCTCTCAGTAGAGTAGATACAGGTTCTGGAGCCAAAACGCCGAGGTTGAATCCCGGCTCTGCCTCTTCCTAGCCCTGTGGTCTTGGGCCAGTTATGAAATCTCCTTGTGCCTAGATTTCTCTATCTATAGAATTGTGACAATAGTATAACCACCTCACATGATTGCAAGAATTCATAGAGAATACATATACACCATCCCTGGCTCATAATAAGAACACAACATGTGTAAGCGATTACCTTTATTGCTATTAGGATTTTGAACTTGCTCTTCTCTTGCTTAGGTTAAATTGACGTGGTGGTTAACAGCGTTGGATTCCCAGTGGCCGACTGCGGTTCGAGTCCCGGACCTGGAGGCTTGCTTTCTCGCTTTCCCTTTCTCTCTCTCTCTGTCTCTCTCTGGTCAGAATTTAAAACTGATAATAACAACAAATGGAAATAAATAAATAAATATTTTTTAAAAATCCTCTTAGCCTAGCTGTCACCTCTCACCCCAAATGCTTTCACTTACATTGTCTCCTCTATGAACGAAGTCTTTCCTGAATTCCCCTAGGGTGAGCTGAATTAATTGTACCTTTCCTATTTTCCCAATTTTGGTTGCTTAAACATTCATTCATTCTTCTTTTTTTTTTTTAATTTGTTACAGGGTATGTGCACCCACTGGGGAGAGAGAAAGAGAGGAGGAAACTGAGAAAGCACCCTCCAGGGAGGATGGCCACACTATAATCCCTTCTCTTCTGTTCTCTTCTTGGGATTTTGGGCATGTATACACATGTGCCTAGTGCGTTTTTCAAGCCGCTGGTTCAGGGATTTTGGTGGCACAGTCTGTCATGTGCGATGCAGTCACCTTAACCACCACAGCACTGCTGACCCATTCATTCTTACTGTATTCTAGGTATTGTTGTAGGCCCTGGGGTTATCACAATGGACAAAAGAGGGGGGAAATCTATTCTCATGATAAATTTCTATCCAAACCAATTGGGGAGAAAAACGCAAGAAAAAAAAATACCAGATAAATGACCAATACAGGGGCAGCAGATGGTGTGGTGGATCCCACATGGCTGACTACGCGGTTTGGGTCCTGGACCTGGTAACTTGAAAAACATACTGGGTGCATGAGCATGTATGCCTAAAATCCTGAGAGGAGAACCGGGGAGAAGGAATTGTGGCACGACCATCCCTGCTGGGGGATGATTTCTCACTTTCCTTCTCTGTCTCTCTACCTGGCAAGTGCACACGCCCCTTGTGAGGTAGAAATCTTTAAAAAAAAAAAATGTGATTTACCAATGTGAGAAAAGATATCACTACAGATCTGACAGATATTGAAAGAATTACAAAAGAATATTATGAACAACTTTACATCAATACATTTGACAACTTAGATAAAATAAATAAATTCCTTGAAAGATATGAATTATCAAAGCTCATGAAAAAGGAAATAGATTACTTGGACCAGCAAGTGGGATGGTGCTTAAAGCAATGAATCCCACATAGCCAACTCCGCTGTGCAGTCCTGGGTCTGGTGGCTTAAAATACAGTACATACTGGGCATGTGTGAGTGTGTACCCAAAATCCTGAGAGGAGGATGGAGGAGACAGGATTGCAGCGAGGCCATCCCTCTGGTGGGGGTGGGGTTGGGGGTGATTTATCACTTTCTTTCTCTCTTTACCTCTCTCTGCCAAGTGCATATCCTATAACAAAACAAAACAAAACAAAAGAAAGAAAAAAAGAAATAGATTACTTAATAGCTCTATATGCTGAATTTATTGTTAAAATCTTTCCCATAAGACAAATCCAGGACCAGATGGCTTAACTGGTCAATTCTACTGATTATTTAGTGAAGAAATATTATACCAGTTTACAAGAACTTTTCCAGAAAATTAAACATTAGGATATACTACATGATTCATCCTGGAAGGCCACAAATATCTTGATTCCAAAACCAAGCAAAGACATCACAGAAAAATACAACTACAGATCAGTATTTCTCATGATATGCATGCAATCATTTTCTTTTTTAAAAAATGTGTTAGTGTGCACATGTGTTTGCTGGAGAGAGCTAGAGAAGGAATGCAAGAACACACGCCCCATGCTTTTCTTACCCGTGCGGAGGGCCATGGCACAGTCCCTCCTCCATTTCTCCTTTCAGAATTTTGGGTATGCATAATGCATAAGTGACCTGCATGTTTCTCTAGCTGCCAGGTCCAGGACTTGAACTGTACAGTTGGTTACATGGATTCCAGCCACCTTAACCGGTAATTATTTTTTTAAGAGATTTTTGTTGTAAGGCACATGTGCTCTCCAGAGAGACAGAAAGCAAGAAATCAGCCCCCCACCCCCCAGGGGAGATGGCCACGCTGCAGTCCCTTCTCCATTCTCTTCTTGGAATTTTGGGCATGTGTGCACACACGCCTGGTGTGAGTTAAGTTGCCAGGTCCAGGACTTGAACTGTGGTTGATTATGTGGGAGTCTAGTCACATAATCATTATGTCATCTGCT